TGAAACCAAGGAATTCGCATCCTGAACGTAGGTTGAAACCTTGCGCCAACTTCCGGGCAGCTTTCTCAGCTCTTATCTAAAGAGAATAGCTGCTCTCCACATGTGACAGCACCCTGCTTACACATGAACTTTCCGGACTGTCGCCCACAACCAATCTAGGAAGAGCAAACACTTCTTGCTTCTGGACTGTACACCTAACCCACGACTAGCCCACATCACCTTTTCCCTCCCCTTCGTCTATGTAGCCAATGTAAATTCTTTCAAAACAGCTTACATCTTTCTTCCCCAAACACTGTATCAAAGAGCCTCATCAACCCCGGAATGGCAGACGTTTGTCTTCCCCATCTCGCCCTGCTGCTGGTGGTTTAGACTGCATGCCCCAGGAGCTGGTTCTTTTTCTAACTAGCACTTGGCTCAATAAACCCTTTCTTTTATGAAAACTTTTGGCCTTAAAGGTTTTTCTTTAACATTTTTGTCTGTGAAATTTTGCAGAGGGGAAAAAAATTAATATTAGTTTTGCTGTCATATCTTAAACTGCAGGACTTATGGCAACAGTACATGAAAAGTGCTTAGTTAAAATGGAAAAGGCATTAAATTTATGAGTGGAAGACATGAACAGAAAACATGTTTCAATTGACAAGAACGTGTTGCACCAGAAAGCATTGAGCCAATTTCATATAGACTTCAGCAAGGGATCTCCTGAAATTAGTGACACCCAGCCATTTACTGCAAGTAAGGGTTGGTTACACCTATTCAGAAATAAGTTTAGACTGAAAAATATTAATATTACTGGAGAGGCTGTGTCTGCCGATGAAGAAAATGCTGCCTCATTTCCAGCAGAGTTGAAGAAGTTGATTAAAGAGAAAGGATACCATCCAAAGCAAGTCTTCAATTGCAACAAAACCAGTCTCTTCTGGAAGATGCCCAATAGAACCTACATTCATTAAAATGCAAAAGGCCCCAGGGCTTAAAACTTGGAAGGACAAATTAACTGGTACCATGTGGCAATGCTGCATGCCATGTGAACAAGCCAGGCGTAGTTCACAGAGCAAAGAACCCATGCACTCTCAGGGAGTCAGCAGATGGAAAATTGCTGAGAAACTTGCTTAGATATCAGGGTTGGGGGGATTCTTGCTAAAACTGGGTTTGGCAGGCTAAGGACTAGGACTAATTGAGAAGAGGGTTCAGAGGAGTTTGACTAAAGGTTAGTCAAGGAGGGAGTCTTTGTTAACTCTACATCGAAGCTCCTAGAAATAAACAAAGACCAAACAAGAAAAGCAAAGTCTATCAGCCATTGTCAATTGTATTTTGACAGAGACTGAAAGGCAGATGGAGGAGTGGGAAAGCTCTAGAGTAGACAAAAGAGGAGCTTCCCATGTGACCTCAATGGAGGCTGATGGCATAGGGAGGCTGTAGGTGGGCTGACTAGAAGCCTGGTATCCTGTGAGATAAGTTGAGGTGCATATTGGTTCTCTCTGGTTTGTCCTAAATTGGAAGCAGGAATAATAATTGGGGGAAATGTCAATTATCAAGTCCTGGTCATTTTGGCCCAATTGTTACAGAAGCTATTTAGCTTTATTTAGCTTCTTGGGTTGTAACTAGAACTTGCAATCTGGTTTCCTGCAAGTCTGACTTATATCAGGCTGCCTTCCCGGGTTGAAGATAAAAGGTTGGGTTTGATAAAGTTAATTCGTATATCAGGACCCACAAAATGGAGGCCACCCCACTGGCCTGACCCACATCACGGATCTAAGCCTAAATCACTCCGCACTTAGGGAAAATACCTGTCAAGGAAATAACAGACACCAACCACAATCCTCCAACTCAGCTTTAGCTAGCAGCTCACCTTCTCCTAGGAAATCAGATCTGCTAGCCTGGTAAGGAAGTCCGCAGACCTCCTAGATAATCACAGCTTGCTTCTGATTTGCCTCTCCCAATGCTCTATTAACTTGCTCTTGCCCCAGATCTCTCAGAAAGTGCTCCACTGCTTTTGAGGCTCTGGTGCTTTCTCAATCTATGGATTGCCTTTTCTTGAATAAAGAACATCAGAACTGTTACTAAATCGTGTTAGTTTTGTCATTTGACGGTACCCTGGGCAGATTTCTGGGATGTAGCTTGTGGGTCAGTTAGTTATATTTTTATATATGGTCTGGTCATTGTACATTTGTACATTCAGTCTCTCAAGCTGAAAATTGAGGGTGACGCAGCATAGTCTAGTGGTTAAGTGTGCAAGCCCTGAAGTCACAGAGCTGGATTTAAGCTGAAAGTTGACAAATCCCACTCTCTCAGGGCCTTCTATCAGCATTTTAAATCTTCCCTCTTAACCGGATTATCAGCTTTTCCTGAAGAAATCATTTGAAATCATAAAATGGTTCGGTTCTGATAGAAAACAGGAGGCACACTTAGGTGGGGTAATTTAGAGAGTTTTATGAAAGCAATATTTACAAACGTGTGGATAGTTTAGGAAAAGAATCCAATAAATGACTGAGAAACATCAGGAATCCGGAAGCAGCTAGGAAGCCAGTATTGCCTCCAGGCCTGAATGGGAATATTATTCTCAGGCTGTGATAACAAAATACCACAGACCTGAAGACTTAAACAACTTACTCCCCACAATTCTGGAAATTGGGAAGTCCAAGATCAAGATGCCAGCAAGGTAGGTTTTGAACATAGTCGAATTAGGCACTTCAACCATGCCACTTTGGCAAGGATTACAGTAGTGCCCCCCTTATTCCTGGGGGAAATGTGCCAAAACTCCCAGTGGATGCCTGGGAGTACTGCAGGCCACAGAGATGACTGGGCTTGCAAGGAACCCCCGCTCCTCCGAAACCCGAACCGTTCTATTCCACGCACTGAAAGTCATTATTTCAAGAAAGGCGCCCAGGCTCCCGAGGTGGGTGAATGCACCACGGGGCCCCCACCGGCACAGGACCCCCGCCCACGTTCCCGAGAAGCCCGCGGTTTAAAAAAGACCTGTGCTTTTCAAAGGAGGCGATTTTCGCCTCACCAGAGCCTCGGACAACACGTCTACCAGAGAGAAGGGTAACGAAGCCCGCTGGCGGCGCGCGGCCCGCACAAAGCGGCGGGGAGGGAGGGCGGGAGGGGGTGATGC